TGTCACGTTGCAACTGAGATTATCGTATCGTGTCGGCGCGCCTCGAACGCAAATATACACACCTTAGCACGCAATAATCCCTGGCAGGAAGAGGGCTCATGTTCCCAGTGGCGTACTGAAAGACCTCCACGTTCGTATCTAGTTTAGTGACCAGTCTGTACTTCAAAAGCTGCGGATCCCAGATATGTCTCTCTCTCAGAACACGGTGAAGGAGCTCGTTCGGCGGAGCTTCTACCTCGGTCGACACTCGCCACAATCGGAGCGGATGTCCGTCCCCGACCTTCTTGTACGCCATTTCCACTGTGCTATCGGCTGGGTTGCTCACCGTCACCCATCCCCGACTTCTGTGGAAAGTACAGATTACGTGATCAGCTACGTGTATGTAATACTTTTTCCAAAAAGAAGAAACAGAACCCTATTAAGAAATTATTCAAATACCAGAATAGTGCGCAAACTCCTGCGGAAAATAGCGAATTGACCGTTTTCGATAGTTGTGGCGTAGATATAGAAGACAAATTTTTTCCAAAGAGCAGAGACGAGAAAGTTTACGACAGATTTATTTACGTACTTTTCACGCGCTTCTTTCAAAAGGGCCGTGGTGCAGGCGTAGAGGTATCCTCTCCAATCCTGCTTGAGCTCGGATCCCAGCTCTTCCAACGCGACTGGTACACTTTCCTCCATGTAATTGAAATGACACTGCGTCAACATATCCGACGAGACCTGATGCAACGAGGAACAGAGAAACGAGAATGCGATTAACTCGTATTTCTCTTCATGATTCGTGAGAATAATACGCGCGCGCGCGCGCACACACACACACACACATACATATGTACGTGTGTGTATCTCTCGGATTCGAGCGCGATCACAATCACCGTTTCGAGACGACGGATGACGCTGCTCTCGAACGACCTGGACGTTCGGCATCGAGCCACTCACCATGAATAATTCACGATGCATCTTGACCAGATACAGAAGACAGTCGTGAGCGGCTTTGTTTTCCGACAGTTCCCTCTGATCGGGAATGCCCACGGTCTTTCTCCTACGTGGCGATACGCTGCTCGACCTGTTGGTCACGTTCGTGTTACTGTGGTTGAAGTGGAACAGGCTCGGTGCCAGGCACACGGCCAGGTTCGAGGCTGTCATTTGGTTGTAGGGAGCGTTGCTCGCTACGTGGTTCAAGAAATCGAGCAGAGTCTCCAACGCCTCCCGGTGCTCGTCCGGCAGAAGCAGCAACACGCATTGCACCGCGTCCGGCCGCAGATCAACAGGTACGTCTGTAACAATTACGGAACACCTGTAATTATCTTCGTCCCGATGCTTTTCCTTCACTTTGTCGATAAATCATTGGTCCAGACGTATCGCTTCCAACGTTCAATCCGAAGATGCACGAAATCAAGAGTGTTAGTGATTCTCTGTTAATTTATTATTATTATCGATGGAACAAAGTTGTACATGTACTCACGTTGAAAGATGGCGATGAAGGTCTCGGACAGTTTGTTCGTTAACAGCGCTTCTGGCAACTCCCTGAAGTACTGCTTGACGAGATCAGCCACGTCAAAGGCCTGTTGACCATCGAAATTGATGTTATCCCCGAGAGTCTCGGTCATCATTTTCAGTTTTTGTATCCTCGACTTAACACCGCTTTTCCTAAAGATTCCAACTTGATCGAGGGCGTTCGCCCTCAGCCATCTGAGCGCGATTTGAATACACTTTGGTAAGGCCTGGCCGGTTCTCTGCAGGGACAACAACAACGGCACCCCGAACACCGTTTTATCCTTGTAGTCGGGGGTCTTTATCTTCCTGATGAACTTTGGCAATTCCCAGTTCCAACCTGTACGATGAGTCGGACAGTATCGTTCCATGCAGGCGGTCAATTTCAACAGCGCCAGCTTCCTCAGTACCAAGAGTTGGCCGCAGGACATCGAGGCCATGGCTCGCGGGCACAGTGGATCCAGTGGCTCCGGGTACAACGATCCCCTCTGGAAACTGTGCCACCTGACAACGGTACCCTTGTGCCGCGGCGAATCCTCCTCCTGATCGGAATCGCGACTGGCCACCGTCGAACTGCTCTCCTGGCTTCCAGCCAGTTCCGAACTCCTGGATCTCGATTTCTCTCTGTAAACGGTCACCTCTTTGGACAATGATTTCCCATCTCTGTACGAGTCGTCCCGGTGCCTGAAACTCTTGTGCATCTTGTCCTCCCTCTTCAATGCAGCCACCTTGTCCTCCTTGTACCTTTCTTGGCTCTGCCCCGACAGCTTGTCCCTGTACCTCTGTGACTCCTTGCCAAGATTCAGGCTGCCCCCCCGGCTATTTATCGGAGTTTTGGTCGGCGAATCTTTGGGACTCTGGGGATGGGCGGTCACGTACTCCAACACTTTGGCGTGATTACTGTTCGCGTCCCTGAAATACCTGTGCCGCCAACTGGTAGGCTGACACTCGGAGTCGCTGAGCGCCCCTTGATCCTCTCGGCCACGGTGCAAGAATCTTCTTGCACGATTCATCTTGGTGCGCGTCGGCGTAGGCGTCGGGCCGCCTCCCTGCGACCCGTCCGAGCAATAACTCGACGAATCGTCGCCGAACGGGCTAGGCGCGTTGGCCAGAGGCGAGGGTGGAAGGTGATAAGGTGAAGCTGGCAACGTGACGGGCGATCCAGGCACGTGCAGCGGCGAGCCCGGCAGAAGATCGTTGAACGACACCGGCGCCGGTCTCGTCGGCGACACGTCCACGCAGTTCAGCTCCTTCATCTTCTGCTGCATCGACATCACGTCTAGAATTTGGGGCCCGCTGATGACGATGCCGTCGCGGTTCTGGTGCTTTCGTCGCCGCGATTTCAACGACTCGACCCGCCTGAGGAAAGCCTTGGCACCGTCCCTCAGCCTCTCGGAGCCGGTCCTTCGAAATCTCGGGCCGATCTCATCGGGGAGTGTGCCAGGTGGCAGGCTGCTGTATCTGAGAGTGTCCAGCATCGTGTCCTCGGCCTCTTCGGCTTCCAGCCGATCCTCCAACGAGTCCTCCTCGTTGGATTGCACGTTCTGGCCGGCGATCGCTTGCAATCTCTCCACGTTGCTTTGCGTCACGTCGCACACGCGCGACCACCGTCTAGTCTTCTTCTCGAACGTCCAGTTCTCGCTGAGGGCGCACTGTGTGTCCTCGTCCGAATCGTCGCCACCACCCTGCAACGTGCAAGAGGAGCTGCCTTGAGCAATTGCCAATGGCAATTGAACGACAATTAAAAGAAAAGTTACGAAACGCAACAACTTTAATCGCAAGTCTCATTTCCACCAGTAAGCACTGTCTCGTCACGTAAATTTCTGTCGATTTACTAGAATCGACGTAAGGCACTACAGATCCACGCCTATATCGATACGATGCTTAATTATTATCTCTATAGAAGATTACAACGAACTAATGACCCGATTCGAAGGAGACGTGACTCACGTGATACACGCTGAAGAGCGCGGAGAGGAACGTTTCGTGCAAGATTAACGACTCGTAGCGAATGTTTAGCGGCCACCGGTGGCACTGGTTGATTATCAATTTGCGTTTGATGTAGCGACAAATTAAGGACCACCGTCGGGGACGCTATCGTGCCTTATAATTAATTGTAGAAAGCGACACCAGCTACGTAAAGCTGCGGAAGATGGATGATTTTCTTCCGGCAGTGTGTGAGAAGAAAGAAGCCACCGCTTTCAAGTTACACTAGTTTCTTACCGTGAAAATACCTTGCTCTTGAACAACCAATCGTTTCCATCCGTTTCGTCGTGTTTTGTAACGTCGTTAATTCTTCTGTTCGAACTTGCTCGTGGAATCTTGAATTTCTCCAGTTAACGCGATCCGACTAACCGGCTTACATAATGTTTCACGTCAGCTGGTCGTAATAACGAACTTAATAAGCCATTGATTCTGTCTTCGTTGCTCAGCGACTAATTACATCGCGACAGCCGCTGCACTTGGTACATAATCGTGGAAGAAATGAAAAGAAGAGAAAGGAGAGTTATGCAATGCGTGCGTTTGCAAATGTACAGAACTGTCGAGTAACCAGACACTTTTAACAGCAGTGTGTTACAATTCTAATTCCTGCTAATTGCACCTAGCAAATTATCATTTCCTGGCTTCACGTTCTATCGAACTTGATTAACCACCCTTGAGTAACCACCGACATTCTGACAGATTACCAAGTTAACTCGAATCTTGCCATTTTTCTCTATTCGAATAAATTCAAGTTTATGTTCCGTCGAGCTTAAGGGACAATCTTACAAAATCAGCTCGAACATTGAAGCATCGAACAACTTTCTCGATGATCATCGCAATTCGATATTCTACGATTTCGAAATTCTGCGATGGAACTCTGAGTCAGACGATACAAAGCGGTCAGAGGAGGCCAAGAAATTAACATGGATCCCGTCGAACTTGAGGAACAATCTTATAAGATCAACTCGAACTTTGCAAATTTGCATTCTACGAAACTCTGAGTTACGGTACGAAGCGGTCAAGAATCTGGGACGTTTGAGAGAACGTTGCCAGATGAGGATGACTAAACTGGGACGGTGTGTCCCTTTTGACAACCATAAGGCAAAGCCCCAGTCCATTTTCTAACAATAAGGCCGACACTCTGTCGCTCGTTACGAAACTTGACGCCTTTGTTGTTTCCACGCAGGGCTACGAGAGCCAGCCGGGAGAGTGTGTGACCTTACGTGATCCTCGCCACATGACAATGGACCCGGTTTCACCTCGCGTCGCTTCGCACGGTTTCCATCGGTGGCATCGTGGCGAACAGCTAAACTCTTCTTCTTCTTCTTCTTCTTCTTCTTCTTCTTCTTCTTCTTCGCGGCGTTCGTCGTCCAGGAAGCGAGCATCACGACTTAACCATCTCGTACCCGCGAGATTTTTCTTTTTTCTTTTTTTTTCATTCTGTTTCGTGAAGATACGTTGAAGACATAATGGGAAGTTGTCCCGCTATGCTGCTGCACGCCGACCAATTCGAGACCTGGCCTTCATGCTTGTTTAATATCGTTTTCTCTTTTTTTTTTTTAATTCTCGCGATATTTTTTTTATACTTCATCGGTGAAACGTCACGAAATGAGTCGATGTGACTATGTGAGTGGATAAGTTGGATGTGGGCCACGTGTTAAAAATACACGGTGTTGCAGAAATGGGATATCCATTGAGGATAAACTCGGACTCTCGACCGGGAATAGAATTTTTCGAATCGTCGATGTCCCTACAGCACATCCACTGGCTCATACGATCGCTCATCTTAACGGAAGCAATAATTCCCTGTCGCTGGCTAGATGAAAAATTCAAATGATACCAAGGGTTCGTTAGAATTCCATTACAGACGACACGCTCCCGCAGGAATATAGATAGACGCGTACGCCACAAATACATTAATCAAAAGAAATAGGACGTATCTAAGGGAAGATTTCTATGAATTACAAAGTAGCTTAAAATAGAGCCATTCCAAATAAAAGTGTTCCTATGCTATATTCGAATATAACCAACATTCTATTAGATTATGTGTATCTTATTGATGTGTATAGTGTGTGTTGTAAAAATAGAAATCGAGGAATTTAAGGGTCTCTAGCAGACAAGAGGGATGAAGAACGTCGTAGATTCTAAAGTCAATGCTGTGAAGTGTAATTTTGTTTCTGCTTGTAAAGTTAAGTTAATGACTCGACCATGAAAAAAGGAGTAGTATAATCACGTTGCAATATCATAGCGAAAAACACATGCAGTGTGTGATATAGTACATAGGCGACGATATTTACGTCCATCCAGGTAGTTTACGAGGAATAAAAATTATTATTATTCATACCGAAACTCCGAAGTATCTTAAACTACATTTTAAAAGCGAATTTTCGTTCGACACCAGTGGTATTCAATCTTTGCTATCAGTTGCAAATGCACAAAACAGGTATCTAGCTAACTAATAATCAAATAACTCGAACAATTCGTTCCACGTTCGTCAACTATTTTCTACCTCTCCAAACACCTTTTACCACCCACCGTAAATCCTGCAAGTTTTAAACTCGCAAGTTTTTTAACATGGCATGTAAGCACGGACGAAATTATCGAGAAACACGGTTGACGAGCAGTAATTCTTGCAAGATGGTGAGGAACGTGTCTCACCCTGTTGTCCAACTGGTCCGAACGAAGGGAACCTTATCCTCAAGGACAAGGGGACAAGGTGAGCGTGAGAGGGTGGGGAAGAAACGGGAGAAGCCGCGTTTCACGTACGATTATCGGCGATCCGCCACTTATACTTCTCTCGCGTATCTGCGTTTCCGTTCCGGCGTGTTAACGCGCGACGTGACGATTCCCTCTACGTGAGTTATTTCCGCGCGAGCACCAACGAGCCGTGTCGCTCCACGTTGCCGCGACGTCACTTCCGTCTAGGCAGGTTGAACAAACCCTGGGTGTTTTATGCGTGACAATGGCTCGGCAATGGACTCGTAAAACGAACAGCGTTTCGCGCGTGTTTTATGGTCTTCTGCTATTTATTCTGCGCGAATGTTAGTTTATCCTTCTTTTTTTAACTGCCGGTTACGTGTGTCTAGCATCCACAGAGAATAAAATTCTCCTCTCTCTCTTTTTTTCTTTCTCGTTCCCAATAGACGCACGTTCTTATTATTTTTAGAATCGCCGATCGAAGATTCGACTCGCGTATCGAAACGCTCGACAGAATTATACCTACAGTTGTCCGAGTTGTGTTTGAGAAAATTCTAAAAGACAATTTTCAATCGTTTCAATGGTCTCTTTTGTTTCACCGCGACCGAGGAACCAGTTTCATCGTCCAGGAATGAGTTTTCAAACTACCTAAGCGTCAGAGCAACTTACATCTATGTATGCAAAACAGTTTCTAAAAATCGAAATTTGCTTCGTAAGCTCTTCGCCACGAGGTACAAACGCGATCACACTTGCGGACAAACGTTCGACGTACCTACTCGTCCGATTAAAACTCGTATACAACGCGTATTTCGCGCTCGAATGAATTACCAAGCTCGAATCTCGGCAGAATAAAAGTCGCTGGACGTTCGTTGCACTACGAATTTAGATTGCGATGACGGTACAATGACCCAGATCGCCGTGCTCGCTCGTTAAAAGAACCCTTAGTCGCGCATTAGTCGTGGCTCTCCCGCGTCAAGTATCAATTAAATGTTGCCCATCTCGTTGCCGATCTCGTCATTCTCCTGTAATTGGCCCGGAGCCGGATCGCTGCCTTGGAACCGGTAATATATTTCTGCCTGAAGAAAGATCGCGTAGAAATGCATCTTCGAGGCTTTACGCCTTTGCAATTTATGAAATGAGT